GGGGAATCAGGACTTAAAGACATGTTCATCCCACAATTCATCTATTGAGGGACACCTAGGTTGGTTCCATAGTCTAGCTGCTGTGAATTGAGCTGCTATAAACATTGATGTGGCTGCGTCACTGTAGAATGCTGATTTTAAGGAGTGGGATAGCTGGGTCAAATGGTTTGTTACATCTTCTTGATGAATTGTCTGATCCAACAATATAGTGACTTTCTTTGCCTCTTCTGATTTTTTTTAACGTCTATTTTGTCACATGTAAGTAGAGCCATTCCTGCTTCATTTTGGATTCCATTGGATCTTACCTTTTCCTGTCCTTTCACTTTCATTTGCATATGCATGTGCAGATGAGGTGATTTTCTTACAGGTAACTTAGTTGTAGGTATTGTATTTTAATCCATTCAGCCAGTCTGTGCCTTTCAGTTGGAGAATTAAGACCCTTTACATTCTGGGTTATTAAAAGGTATGTACCTTCTGTCTTTCTGTTGTTTTTCATCTGGTTGTTTTGAATAATCTTTGTTTACTTCTTCCTTATTATCTTAGAAGTGTGATGGTTTACTGCGTTGATTATGTTTGATTCTTTCCTATTTTTCATTTGTGTGTCTTCTAGTGAGATTTCTTCTTTTGTGTGCTTTCATGATTGTGTCTATTTTTCTTCTTCTTCTGGATATAGGATTTCCTTAAGTTTCTTTGTAATGCCAATCTAGTGATCACGAATTATCTTAGATTATGGTTATCTTGGAAGGTCCTTAATTAACCTTTAGTGCTAAAAGATAATCTTGCTGGATACAGCACTCTTGGTCAGCAGTTATTTTCTTACAGGACTTGAAATACATCATTCCATCCCCTCCTGGCCTTGAGAATTTCTTCTGAGAAATCTACTGATATTTTAATAGGTTTGTCTCTAAATGTGATTTGGACAAATAACCTAGTCAATAAATGGGCTAAAGAACTGAACAGACACTTCACAGAAGAAATAGAATCAATCAACAAATATGAAAAAATGTTCAACATCACTAGCAATTAGGGAAATGCAAATCAAAACTACTCTTAAGAATTCATCTCACTCTAGTCAGAATGGCAATTATCAAGAATACAAACAATAATAAATATTGGCAAGGATGTTGGGGGGGGAGGTACACTCATACATTGCTGTGGGACTATAAATTGGTACAACCATTATGGAAAGCAGTGTGGACATTCCTCAGAAAACTTGTTGAACCACCATTTGACCCAGTTATCCCACTCCTAGGTTTATGCCCAAAGGACTTAAAAAATCATCATACTACAGTGACACAGTCACATCAATGATTATAGCAGCTCAATTCACAATAGCTAAACTATTGAACCAACCTAGGTGCCCCTCAACAAGATGGGATAAAGAAAATGTGACATATATACACACAATGGAATATTACTCAGCCTTAAAGAAGAAAGAAATTATGGCTTTTGCTATTAAATGGATAGATGTGGAGCCTATCATGCTAAGTGAAATAAGCCAATCCCAAAGAACCCAAGGTTGAATGTTTTCTCTGACATGCAGATGCTAATTCACAATAATGATGGCAGGGCCAGGGGCTAGGAAAGAATAGAGGTAATTTGGATTAGACAGAGGGAGTGAAGGGAAGAAAGGGGGTACAGGAGTAGGAAGGACAATAGTATGAATTGGGAAATTATGACCTTATGCGCACATATGACTACATGACTTGTGTAATCCTATATCATGTACAACCAGAAGAATGAGACGTTATATTTCATTTCTGTATGATATTTCAAAATGCATTCTATTGTCATGTATAACTAATTAGAACAAATTAAAATAAAAGAATTAAGGGAAATTCCAGTAAAAAAAAGAACTATAATAGAATGAAAAGAGAGCTAGTTTGTGATAAATGTTGAGTTCAGGAAGTTATATGGGTGATTCAGCAATTTATGTTATCATCACCATTTTTCCCTTCATGGATAATGTGTGGTGAGTATATGTGATCAGGATGGCATTTTCTTGATGCCGTGAAATGTACTCTTGGGTAAAATGGTAAAATACTAAAATAATTTGAAAAAAATGTGGGTTGGTACTCCTCTTTTGATGATGTTAACATTCTTTCTTTGTCCTGTACTTTGGCAATTTAACCATAATAGGTTATGGAGAGGTTTTTTGGTGATCGCGTCTGTTTGGGGTTCTAAATGCCTTCTATGCCTGGATGTCCGTGCCTGTCCCAAGATCGGGGAAATTTTCTATTATTTCACTGAACAGGGTTTTGTTCTCTTGGTTTTTGCCTTCAGCCTATAGCTTCTTCCCCTCAGGCATGATGATGATGATGCAGATATCTGATCTGTGAATGATGTTCCAAAGATCTTGTAGGTTCTGTACATTCTTTATTATTCTTTATTTCTGTTTGAATGTAATACTTCACCAGATCTGTCTTTGAGTTATGATACTCTTTCTTCCACTTGATCTAGCATGTTGCTGAGGCTTTCAACAAAGTTTTATCTGACTTACCAGGTTTTGCATTTATAAGATTTCTGTTTAGTTCTTTCTCAAAAATCTTTCTTTACTGAATTTCTCATTCACATTCTGCATTCTCTTCAATTGTTTACCTGTAGTCTCTTGAAATTCATTGAGCTTTTTAGAAATTACTCTTTTGAATTCTTTATCCATCATTTCACCCACTTTGATATATCTACAAAATTATGAGATTTATGAGGTGTCATATTGCCTGTTTTTTCACATTTCTTGTGTTTCCATGTTGGCATCTGTTGGAATGAATAGCTCCTCCACTTTTATTTGAGGGCCTCCTTAGTAGGTGGCCTTCTCCTGGTGATATCTTAGGGTAGTGGTTTATTCTGCAGTGTTGGGTTTAAGTCCAATTGGACTTTGTAGTGTAGTCTCCCTCTGTCTTTTGGGCTGAGATGAGTGGATTTTGACAGAATACACATTGTATCAGTACCATGTCCACAACAGTGGTCTTATTTCTCTCTCCTGTTACTGTGGGGGTGACTGTCCAGAGCCCCATAGCTGTGTCCACTTGGGGATGGTCTTTGTCTGGGCATTTTGTCCTCCCTGTTCTTAAATTGAAGTTATCTCCCAAGGTTCAACTGGGGCTAGGTCAATACTAGAGCTAGGCACAATTACTCTCCCCTGGGCCGGAGGGTAGCTCCGTGGCAGAACCCAAAGTGTGCACAATAAACAAATAAATATTTAAAAATAAAAGCACCAAAACAGTAACAGCAGTGGCAATAAAAATAACAATAGGGTCAGGCACCCTGGCACATGCTTGTAATCCCAGCAGCTCCAGAGGCTGAGGCGGGAATATTTCCAGTTCAAAGCCAGCCTCAGCAATTTAGCAAGGCTCTAAGAAACTCAGTGAGATCCCATCTCTAGATAAAATATGAAAAAGGACTGGGGATGTCGCTCCATAGATAAGCACCCTTGGGCTCAATCCCTAGGAGAGGGACAGAGGGAGGAAGGGAGAGAGAGGGAGGAAGGGAGAGGAAGGGAGAGAGAGGGAGGGAGAGAGAGAAGGAGGGAGGGGGGGGGAGAGGGGGAGGGAGGGAGGGGAAATACGCAGAAAAAAAATTTTTAATTTTAAATTTACATTTAAGAATATAAAGCAGGGGAAAAGTTAAAAATCAAAGGGGAAGGGGAAAAGAGAAAGCAAATTAAAAAATTAAAGAGAAAACACACACACACACACACACACTCTCTCTCTCTCTCTCTCTCTCTCTCTCTCTCTCTCCAGTTCTTTCTAATCATAGTGTGCACCATTGTCTATTGAGGAATGACCTGTGGCTGGAGCTAGTTGGAATTCTTCTCAGCTACTTTGCACAATGGAATGAGTTAACATGGAACGTGGAGTTCTCCACTCGAAGAGTTTCTCTTTAGCTATTTGGGCTCTGCACTCCAAGCACTGGCTGAATGCTGGTGCTGTGGCTTGTCCCTGCACCCCCTGCAGGTGGGACGGGGTAACAAACCCACAGAGATCTGTGCTGGAAGGACTGATGGGCAGCAGGTTCCACATGATCTACCACCCATCATCCTGATGCTCTCAGGCTTAGCTCCCACGCAAAATCACACGTGGCTTCCACTCCCTTGGACTTAGTTGACAGGTTTTCAAAACTGCAGATTTTAAACTGCTCCCTTCCACGTTGCCATCCCGTTTCCCATAACAGAATTCTCAGTGTGTTTGTGTCAGTCTTTCCTCAGGCAAAGTGGTGCATGAGGGAGCTGCTCATACAAGCACTGAGTAAAATTCCCACAGGTTCCAGGGTCACAGATGTAGCAAATTGCAGGAGCCTCTGATTCCCAGAGCAATAAACTCAGATTCTTCTCAGCTCCATGGGAATATACTACTGGGAAGTGCACAGATCTTACCCAGATCCCACTCACTGCGCAGTTCCCAGGTCTCTTGTCTGTCTTGACTGTATATCTGCGAGGGGCTCATGGAGCTCTCTGGGACTCTTCCTTTTCCCCATCCCCACCGGAGTGGGTATTCCTGCTCCCCCTGACATGCTGCTGTGTGATCAATGCTGGGGTCTCTTTCTCCCAGCACCTGGTATCCAAAATCTTTGGGTTTCTCCAGGTCTCTTTCTTCTCTTTTGTTGAATTCCAGCACTCTCCCACAGTCACCCACCTCAGTAAGCAGCTACCCACCTGCTGACTTAATTCTATCTCATGGAGAAGCAGGCGGGTGCTGGGTGCCTCTCATCTGTCATCTTGAATTCCCAGTACAATATGGTGATGCTATAATATAATGATATGTTTTAATATAATTAATCACATAATTATTATACAATTAAAGTATAGAATAATAATTTATCATTTTATATAATTATACATAATATTTAGTATGTAGTTATATAAACATATAAATAAGTCAGCTTGAATTGCTTTCTCAGGGCCAGGATATATTGGTATACTGAAAAATCAAATTCCATAACTTTATTTCCCAGATATAAATAAAATGGATAATATTCTGTTGTGTTGTTTTGTTTCGTTGCAGCCTGGAAATGAAGTGTATCCTAAAGATGAGAATGGCAAGTGGTTGTATCATAAATCAGATCTGTGTGCCACTTGGGAGGTATGTTCACATGGCCTCTTATTTTAAAAAAACTACATTTTCAGGGCTGTGATCAAATTGTTCCTGTCGGGTTTATGGCCTTTACTCCCAGTGGAAATTAACAGTCAGAGCCAGTATTTCCAACCCTAAGTACGGACACATGAAATCTCCATTCCTGGTGCTGATGATTCTTCGTTTTGTTTTGCTAAGGAGAAGAAGGCCAAGGAAAGGGAAGAGGAAGGTGTGGAAGTAGGAAAAAAAAAAAAAAAGGAAAGGAGATATGTTCTCATGGAACGGCAATTGAAAATACGTAAATGAGATATACAAATTTTAAAAACTGAATTGAAAAAATTAATTCTATAATATCTAAAAGAGACAAAATGATACATCAAAGCTAAAAAATAATTCTGGTTCTATTTTTGAACAAGTTGTTGGCTCCTTCCCCAAGATCACAAAAGTGGGGAGTTCTAGGAGAACAAGAGTTTTGAATTCATGGAGATGGGAGGGACACTTTGAGCTGGCCTGTTTACGAGGCGGGGTGGACACTGTGACCTAGACAAGAAGGCGACCCAACAGGCAGTGAGATGATAGTACATGCAGGAGAGAGTACTGGCCCTCTCTTTGCACTTTCTTCTCCTCGGCCATAGTCAGAAACTCACGATCAATGGCCAGGAATCAAATCAGATCGGCATTGAACCCTGCACTGATCATAAGCCGAGAAAAACACGTTGTTAATTGAACTCTGGCAACTGTTTTACACACACACACACACACACCATTCCAAACTCCAAAGGCTAGGAAATTACATGAATATGTAATTTACATTGAGTATATCTGTCTATACACTCTCTCTGGGAAGTAACAGTTAAAGGTCTGAACTACAGTTTTGAGGGTGCAGGAGGCACTGAGTAGGTTTTCTGGTACCTACGCTGTCCATTCAGGAGACGATACACACATTTACTCTGGACCTCCCTGTTGCTGACCAGGTTTGGAGGCTGGTGTTCCAGTCTGTGTGACTGCCTGAGAGAGTGGCCCAAATCCCTAGGAGAAGATGAGTTCACAGTCCAAAATGACAAGGCACTGTTTCACTAGGAAATAATATATCTCAGTTGCAGATCCCAATATAAACAAAGCAGAGAACCAGTAATTTTTAAATTAGCCAATTAATATATTAAAGGATATAAGAAAAGATATTAGCAATGTGGGGAAAAAAGAACAATTAAACATTTTAAATGAGCAAAAACAATAATCAGAAAAATAAAAAATCAATGAAAGAAATTGGGATAAATAGTAGAATAGATATGGATAAGAAAAACACTTTTTTTTTTTTTTATGTTGGATGTTTAACCCAGAGATGCTCTTAACACTGAGCTACATCCCCAGACTCTTTTTATTTATTTGTTTATTTTGAGACAGTTACTGAAGCTGGCCTTGAACTTGAGATCCTCCTCTGCCTCCTGAATAACTGGGATTATAAGTGTGCACCACAGAGCCCAGCTAAGAAAAAAATATATTAAATTAAAAAATCAGAGTGATGAGATTTCCCAACATGAAGAAGGAAAGAAGAAAAACATTTTAAAGAGAAAAGCTAAGAGACGCAAAAAGTGAAATTAGAATTTCCAGTATACACATAATAGAGATCTAATAAAAAAAGGAAAAAAAAATAATAGTTGAGTTAAAAAAAAAGATATTGAGCAAATCCTGGAGTACTAACACAAAAAGACAAGAAAACACACACCTAGATGAATTGGGGTGAAATTTCAGAATACCAGACGTGAGGAGAAAATGTTAAAATTTCCAGACTATTGCAAATGAGCCAATGAAAGAAGCAAAATCAAATAATGAAAAACAATCAGCCCAGGAGAAGGCAGGAAAAAAAGACAGAAAATGAAGAGATGGGAAAACAGAAAACAAATAGCAAGATAAGAGATGTAAGTGATATCAGTAATCACAGACTATATAGATAATCTAAGCATCCCAGTTCAAGACATGTTGTCAGAATGGATAATAACCAATGTCACTATACATTTTCTACAAGAAACTCATTTTAAGTAAAAAAAACACAAAACTTGTTGTGTTGGTGCATGTCTATAATCCCACCTACTTGAGACTGGGGCAGGACAATTGCAAGTTTGTAGCCAGCCTCAGCAATTGAGTGATATCCTGTCTTAAAAAAAAAAAAAAATAACTTAAAAAGAATTGAGGGTGTAGCTGAGAGGTAGAGTGCTCCTCGGTTCAATCCCCAATTCTGCAAGGGGGAAAAAAAAAAGTTAAAAAAAATTTTTTTTAAATAAAAGGATAAAAAATGATATTCTAGGCTAACACTAATCAAAAGAAAACTGGAGTGGCAATTATAGTAAAAAGACTTCAGAGCAAAGAGTATTAGCAGAGATAAAGGGGTCAGTCCTAAACACTATGCACCTAATAACAGAACTTCAAAATATATGAAGCATAAACTAAGAGAACTGACCAGAGAAAGAGAATAATTCATGTTCATAGTTAGAGATTTCAAAGCCTCTCTTCCATTAATTGAAATAATAAGTATATGGAAAATCTTTACAATATTTGAAATTTAAACATTATCAACATTTTGACCTTGTAATATTTATGGAACACTATTTTTCAAGTACACATGGAACACTTAACAAGATAGGCCATTTTTTGAGAAATAAAATAAAACTCAATTTTTAAAATATTCTAATTACGCAATGCACTGTCTTATCTAATTGGAATTAAGTTCAAAATCAGTAAAAATTGTTTGAAAAAGCCACCAAATATTTGGAAGCCTAACATGAAAAAAACCCCATAAGACAAAAAGGAAACAAAATCTATGCATCCATGTCCTAGCAACACACAATTAGAAATTAACTTTTTAAAATATTAAATATTTAGAGATAAATTTAACAAAATAATTGAAAAACCTATACAATATGTTCTAAGAGAAATCAAAGATCTAAATGAATGGAGAAGCATACAATCCCTTGATGCTCAATGTGGTTAAGATGTTAATTATTCCTAAATTTATATGAAGATTTGATGCATCTGAGTCAAAATAGAAATTGAAAAGCTAATGCCAAAATTTATATGGAAGGGCAAATAATCCATAATGGCCAAAGAACTTATAAAAAAGAAAGAAAGAAAAGAAGGAAAGGAAGAAAAGGAGGGATCAATTTGGAGGACTTCTACTAACTGATTTTGAGAATTGTGATACAACTACAGGAATCATGACGGTGACGTATTGTCGGCATAAAGATGCATATACAGATCAACGGAACAGAGTAGGGTGTGCTAAAATAGACCTAAACAGGTCAAATGAGTTTCAGCAGAAAAGCCAGGGCAGTTCAGTGGGAGAGGGATCATCTTTTCAGTGGTGTACTGAAACTGACTCATACCAGCTTGCGAGAACTGATTGTGCAAATCTTCCTAACTCCAACACTGGTGATGTCCTGTTAGATTGACTGCCACTAGTGTGAATAGTTAGACAACAAATTGATGAATACCATAAAATGGGGCTTCTCCCCACCCACAGCCAGTTGTTAAACAATTATTTATCAGCATTCTACTGGAGGTGTTCAAAATCTTGATGGTAGTGATAATCTTACTGGTGCATCCATATGATTCATCAAAATGCAGGTTTCAAATATGTGCAGTTTATTGTATATCAATTATAATTGATCGATTTTTTTAAATTAGAAATTTCCAGAAAGAAAGAGCTAGTCACATGAAATTAATTTGATGTGAGTTTTGTTTTATTACCAGCACCACTGGATGAAAAAAAAAGATATAGTATTTTCAAAGTGTTGAAGAGTAAAGATTGCTGTCTTTGTATTTTATATCCAAACTATAAGGAAAAATTATGTGTGATAAAAATAGCTTCAGATCTTACTTGTGCTTAGAAATTTTGCTACATACAAAACCCATCAAAAGGCTATTAGGGGAAAAAAAAAAGAAAAACCATTAGGGGCAATGATCTAAAAGATACTTCAAGAAATGTATAAACTGAAAGTGATCAAATTAAACTGAAAACTATTTAATATCTATAACATAGTTAAGATCAAATAGTATTAGGAGAATATAGTCATAATAAACTACAATTAAAGTTTCAGTATTAACATCACAGATGTTGGGGGTAGACCAAGAAATGTAGCCAGGTGTGGTGGTGCATTGGAATCCCATTGGTTTGGGAGACTGAGGCAGGAGGATAGATAGTGAATACAAAACCAGCCTCAGCTACTTAGCAAGGACCTAAGCAACTTAGAGAGACCCTCTCTCTAAATAAAATATAAAAAGGGCTGGGGATATGGCTCAGTGGTTAAGCTTTCTGGGTTCAATCCCCAAAACAAAACAAAACAAAACAAAAAGAAAAGAAAAAAGTATAAACATGCTAAGTTCTTGTCCTTGTTAAAGAAAACATTATATGAACATATATATACTTTTTTTAAAGTAAAAATTAAACAGAAGAAGTGAGATAAACTGGAATAAGTTAAGATACAAAGTCCTATTAAAAGACAAATTGGAAAAAAAAGACAAGTATTGACAGATTAAAATTAAAATGAGGCACATAAGCAGAAAGCCACCTTAAAGTTAAAAATTAAAGGTGAAAAAGAAATATTGTTAAATACTTAGAAAAAAGTTAATATAGTTTACTGAGAAGATATACAATTTTAAACACATATATACTAAATATTTTCAAAATATATAAAGCAAAAGAATTGATAGAATGCTGGAAGACATCGACAAGTCTACTAGTACATAGGAAGCTTCTGACACATTCCTTTAAAGTACCCAAAAGCCAATTTTAGGTATAATGTGGGTTTGTGTGTACACAGACATATATCTATGAGAAAGAGTTTGCATCCAAACATAGGAAAACTTACATTTGCCACACATACTAGAACATTTATGAAAATTTATCATGTACTATGCCATAGAGAAACTCTCCACAGATGTCAAGAAGTAGATCATCACTGACATGCTGGTATGCATCGTGAAAAAATAGGGGAAGGTACAGTAGAGAATATTTTCCAAACTCATTCAATCAGAGCCCTGCCTTTCTCCACCTGCTTTTGTTTCTTCCTTCACAGAACAGGTGTCAACCTACCCAGCTTTCCCATCTAAATAATTTACAGTTGGCCTTACAAGTATTCATCCTTGCTTCTTGTGAGGTTTTTTTCATAACCTGCTGACGTTTGCCCTACAGGCCTTGGAAGCTTGCAAAGATGCAGGCTTGGTGAAATCCCTTGGAGTCTCCAATTTTAACCGCAGGCAGCTGGAACTCATCCTGAACAAACCAGGACTCAAATACAAGCCAGTCAGCAACCAGGTACAGCCTACCAGCTTCCCCTGGGGTGGCGGGGGGACCCCGATATAGTATTTAAGTAACAAGAAGCTTGGACTATGCGTCAGGAAGTCTTGTTGCTCCACAGGAATCTCATCAGAGGATCCTGGGCAAATCTTAATCTCTGTCAACTTATGTCTTTAGGAAAAAAGATTTGTAAATTCAAATCTAGGCAAAAGTAAGCAAAAAGGTTTTTGAAGCAGAAAAGGAATGAGGTGGAAATAAATCAGACTTGCCAGATATTGACACAACATGAGTATTTAAAACAGAGTTCAGTGGGGCAAGAGCCAGATATGGAGATGATGAATGTTTAGAAACAGGCCAAAGTATAATCAAAACTTAATGTAGGGGCTGGGGATGTGGCTCAAGCGGTAGTGCGCTCACCTGGCATGCGCATGGCCCTGGGTTCAAGCCTCAGCACCACATACAAATAAAGATGCTGTGTCCGCAGAAAACTAAATAAATATTAAAAAATCCTCTCTCTCTCTCTCTCTCTCTCTCTCTCTCTCTCTCTCAACAAACAGACAAACAAACAACAACAAAAAAAAACTTAACATAGCCAGGCACAGTGGTGCCTGCCTGTAATCCCAGCAGCTCGGGAGACTGAGGCAGGAGGATCACGAGTTCAAAACCAGCCTCAGCAAAAGTGAGGTGCTAAACAACTCAGTGAGACTGTCTCTAAATAAAATACAAAATAGGGCTGGGGAGGTGGATCAGTGGTGGAGTGCCCCTGAGTTCAATCCTCAGTACATCCTCCCTCCCCTCAACAAAAATGAATAAGTAAACAAGTACTTAATGTAAAATAAAGTAGCACAAACTATCGGTAGAGGGATGAAGTCTTCAGTTGATGGTATGAGAAAAACATGTCTAGATATGTAGAAATAAATAAGCACTTTACCTCCATTGCACTCCAAAATCAATATCCTTTTGATCAGAGTTGTTTTAGTCAGCTTTTTCACTGCTGTGACTATAGGATAACTGTAGAGGAGGAAGAGTTTATTTGGGGGCTCACGGTTTCAGAGGTCTCAGTCCACAGACGGCCAGCTCCGGTCCCTGGGGCTGGAGGTGAGGCAGAAGAGTGTGGTGGAGGGAAGCAGCTCACATGGTGATCAGGAAGCAGAGAGAGACTCCACTCTCCAGATACAAATATATTCCCCATGATCACGCCCCTAGGGACTCACCTCCTCTAGCCACACCCCACCTGCCTTCAGATTCCACCCAATTAATCCCATCAGGTGATTAGTTCACTGATTGGGTTAAGGATCTTGTAGCCCATCTTGCATTGTGTCCCAAGTGAGTTTTCCAAACCATAACAGTTTTTTTCAAAGTGAAAATCATTTACAAATACAACAAAAGAATTTTAGTTTTCTGGAGCTATTGATACAAAGAGAAGCCATGGAAAAAATCATAAAGAAAACTGATATATTAAAGAGTATAAAAATGCTAAACTCTCAAAACACTAGAAACAGAGAGCAAGCAAAAGTAATTATGTTTTTAAATATATAGGGCTCATATCCTTATGAATTCAAAGGCTAGCGTAAATAATCTTCAAGGAGAAACATTAAGGCTCAACAGAAACAATGACAGAAATGAACAGAAATCCACAGAAGACTCATTAGAAAATGGATAAACATGACAAAAGTTCATCTCACTGGTAATTAGAGAAACTTATGTTTAATGATTTTGGACTGTGTCAAATTAGTAAAGCTATTGTGTTCTGTTTTATTATAACACTCCCATAAAGAAAGTGATAAAGTACTGGCAAGTGCCAATTGGTTCAGCCTTAATAGAAAGTGATTTGACCACACGTATCTAGAGCCCTAAAAAAAAAATGTTAGTTATGAAAACAAAAACAAAAACAAAAACCTGGCAACAACATAATATGAGAAACTAGGGGAATGATTAATCATGAGATGTCCGTACTATATGAAACCTGAACAAACTATATTCTGGAATGATTTTTGAGGAAAAGAGAAATGAACAAGAGATTTAAGGAAAAGACCAGGTTACAAAATGCAATATACAGGATGGAGGTGATTGTATTGTTAAAAGGGATTTCACTGAAGAACGGTTTCTTAAAACTATGTAGAAGCGCATTAAACTACAAGGCCTTAATTCTGCGCCCTGATCTTCTATGCCATCACTTAGGTCGAGTGCCACCCCTACTTCACTCAGCCAAAACTCTTGAAATTCTGTCGACAACATGACATTGTTGTTGTTGCCTACAGCCCTTTGGGGACCTCTAGGAATCCACTCTGGTGAGTAAGGCTGCGCGTCTCTTCAGGAATTATTCCGTGGGGTGGAGGGGGTGAAGGTGATGGGAGGTCCTTCCCTGGGAGACTGGCTGAGTGGTCTTGAGAAAGGAACAACCTTTTCAAGTGTTTTCCATATAAACAAATTAGAGCTGATACTACCTTCCTCAATGAGATAAGTGTTGATCACATTCAATCTACGAAATTATCTCTCGGTGCTTAACAAGTAGGAAATGCTCAATGAATCTTAGTTTAATTATTATTTGACAAAGAGTTTCTAGGGCCATGTTCCTAAATTTTTGAATTTTTGGACCTCTGGATTCAGTGGCAGCATTTCTCTTGGATGTGTAGGATTTTTTTCTACTCGGATTCCAAGAACTATGCCTCTGTTTCCTCTGCTCCTGTCTTCTTGCTTTTCCTTCTATGTCTACTACTAATCCTGCGAAGACTTATTGAGAAAATATTAATTCATCCTCAAAACATCAACTCCATACACTTGCCTCTCTTGGCCTCCTTGTGTTAACTGTCACTCTTCCTTTAATGAGTTCTTCATGCTCAGAGGCATTGTTACAGGTGACCTCAAGTGTCCCCATAAGTGACCAGGTAAATGGGGAGGCAGGGGAGGGTGACTGATGAACTCTTAGTTCTCATCTTCCCAACCTAATAGGCATGTGTTGCTTCTTTTTTAAGGGTGAATATATCTTCTCCACCTTTATTAAATGATGCACTTCTAAACTCACTGGGGAAAAAGTATCGCAAGACAGCAGCTCAAGTTGCTTTGCGTTTCAACATCCAGCGAGGGGTGGTGGTCATTCCTAAAAGTTTTAAGCCTGAAAGGATCACAGAAAACTTTCAGGTAAGAGAATTGTTTTTTGAAGTGTGGAAAGATGGTTCTGTTTGTTGCTTTGCTTTCAGAGAATGTTCTTGAAAATTGTAATTACTAACACCCAATAACTCCCCCATAACCTCAATTTCAAATATCCCCTTCCCCTGGGTCATCAATTCTTGCTCTCTATTATATAACTCCCACCAACAAAGAAACAAGCTGTAACCTCCAATCTTAAAAAAAAAAAAAAAATCCTATGTTTGTATAAATATGTCAAAATAGACTCTACTGTCATGTATAACTAAAAAGAATGAATTTTTTAAAAAAATTTAATGTAGACTCACTTTTTTTCTCTAGAAGTTTGACTTCTCTCTTTCCACTTACAGCAAACCCCTTGAGAGAGAAGTCTGTTCTAGTTGTCCTCAATTTGCTTCACTTTGCATCTCTTAGACCCATTCAAACCAAGACTTTACCCAAACCATCCGAGGGGAACAGAGCTGATCAAGGTGCAGGGACCTTCTCATGGCTAGTCCTCATAATTAGCTCCCAGTCCTTGTCCTACCAGACCTTTCCACCAGATTTAATACAGTTGCCACCTCTCCTTCTTGAAACATTTCCTGTTATGGAAAACTATGAGATGCAGGTGCTGAGGAGACTATCAGGAGTTTGGTTTTCTAAAGTGAAATCTCCATTCACTTAAGACGGCCGGAAAAGAAGAAAGTACCATTGAAAAATCAGTCCACATTAAACAAGGGAAATCAGTGCCTAGGAGTAATGCAGAGAGGAAAAATTTGGAAGTTTATCTTAAAATTGAAACCAAAGTTTATGAAAGCAAGTGTGCTTATTTTATTCTCAACAAAATTTAGCTTCCAATTGCATATGTGCACTAACTCCTAGAAGAAACAAAGTGAATCAAGTGTTGATGTTTCAAAATATGCTTTAAAATTATGTGAAAACACAGGATGATGTCCCATATTTCTCAAAGGCTTTTGCAGAATGATCATAAAGAGAGGGCTTTATCTGAAAAGGATTCTTAATCCTTGGGATTTTTTTTTTTCTCCCAGTCTTATTCTTTTGGTATATCTCCCAAAGTAGATTTGAAACTGTGCCAGATTCTTATTTTTAAAAATTGTGGCTATAATTAGAATAAATCTCTGAAGTCCCTCCCATTGAGCTCATGAAATCCTGTGTTTTTACAAGACTTTATTCACCTTGTTAGACTTCCTGGCTTTTCACAGGAATGGAAAGCTGACCTACCAGCGAGGCACAAAGGAAGTTTGAATAGAATTCATTTTTTAAGTGATTAGCTTATTCATGATGTTTTATATTATGAAGTTTTTATTCCTTTTTCTATCTCATAAACTCCAATACTTCAGTGATGAATAATCAAATAAAAACATTCCTTGAAAGGAAAACACTTGGAAATAATCCATGGAGGAACGATTTAAATAAATCATGTTAGGTGTGTACTATGAAAAGTGATTAAATTAATAACATCAGCCTACGCATTTTGATTAAAAAAGGCCACTAGTATCACTAAGACACTGCATAAACACAGAAAAGTTATAGGATAATAAAGATATTCTGTGTTAACTACCATTTTCTTCCTAATGTGCTTAAAATCTGTGAGGAATATACAGGAGGAGAAATAAGACAGGGTGTTGAGTGACGAGAGGAATTTTCCCTTTTTAGTCCATATCTATTAATTTAGTTGTGTATATACCAAAAAAGCATAAGTATTTCTGTACTTTTAAAATTTATAAATCATTAAGTATGTTAAAATAGAAGTTAAAGGGTAGAAAAATAAGCAATAAAGAGAAGAAAATTATAAACAGATTAACTGTTAAAAATAAGTGAAAATAAAAGATAAATATGCTAATGAAGGACAATTACAAAACCAGAGTGCAAAAAGAAATGTATAAAACTCAGAATAAAACAATAAGAACGAAAAAGTAGAAAAGACATTAACAATGATGAGAGAAAGTGTTTCACAGATAAAACAAAGCATGTCAAAAGTTTAAAAGCGGGCAATTTTAGAGACAAGAAAAAATATTTCTTTTAAATGAAAAGTGTAAGAAGGCAGTAGTCCATAATCAAAAATTCAGCATCATATATGGAAATAAAAAGGGTTCTTCGCATTTGGAATTTCAGATTGCCTGAACATGTGTTGTTTCAGAGCACTTGCAGTTTCTGTAAGATGTCCTCAGCATGACTGTCTTAAAGACAAAGAGCAGAGAGTCCAGCTCCACATGATGGGTGGCCCCCAACACTAACCCAACTCGGACAACCCCAAGATGCTCGTCTACCTCTGAAGGGACCCCACTGCTGGCTCTGCTCCCTGATCCAAGCTTGAACCATGACTACCTTCAAGAATATTCTTTTGAAAAAAAAGTTCTTTTGTTTTCATTATTTCAGATCTTTGACTTTTCTCTCACTGAAGAAGAAATGAAGAGCATTGAAGCCTTGAATACAAATATCCGCTTCGTGGAAATGCTCATGTGAGTTTTGGGGGATGGCTGGTCTGGCACTGTCCCTTAATATTGGATTGGCAAGTGTCAAGGAACAAGGCTCCTAGGAACCCTGACGTTGGTTCATAGAGAGCACCGGGATAAAGAATGGGCAGCATGTTCTGAATACTAAACACACCTGGGTGAAATACTCCCCTGAAGGAACTTCCTAGAACATCTTATGACATCCTGTGACAGGTTAAGGCATGGCGGACTCAGCACCTCTAGGGAAATTAATTCATAATGTACATATGTCAAAACAATAGCAGCACAAACATGGAAATAACATTTATTTCTTCCTAAAAATCAAAGCAACGTCCAAATTAGAAAAATTTATTTAAAATTTTTTATTTCTGGCAGAGAAGTATAATGATGTATGAGAAAGAGCCCAAGGTTGGGACCATGAACATAGTTTCATACAAATACTTTCTTGCTCATAAGACTTAGAAGTTATATTCCTTCAAGGTATTGCCAAGTTCAACCAATTAGCTACAGTAGCCCTTTATTTTCTAAACATTGCAGGTCTTTTAAAATAAAAATAATATAATTTATACACATACATATGCAAATGTGTATATTTGTATTCCCCCCACACACTTTTCTTCTTAATCACTCTCCATTAATCTTTCCAGTTCTTCAAGTCATTTTAATTGCCGTCATCTTTTGCAATCTTCTCTTACAGTAGACTTTTCAAAAACGCTCATTAAGTTGATCCTCATAGTTTGGACACTTAATGATCTCACTGCTTTTAATGAGACAGAAAGTGCTCTGACTGGGTTAATATTGAGTTTATGAATTATTGTCACAGAATAATTTCCTAATGTGAGTTTTCAAGGAGGGGAATTGGTGGACATCCAAAGTTCCACCCAGCCTCAACCAAAAAAGAAACAAACATAAAACTACCAATTATAGGATACTCAGTGACTCTAGAAGATAAATGATTTCTACTGAATAAATATCATTAAGAAGAAATGGTAACATGTAGTTAACCCACCAATCTACTGATTTTTTTTTAACAGGCAGGTAGTGACCTTATTTAACATTTGATATATTGAATATTAGTTCTAACAATATTGGGGGGAAAATAACTCATCCAACTGGAGAAATAAATAAGCTAAAACAAAGATTAGCCTTCATTAATCAAAAAAGGTATTATTTAAGAGTGCTGGGCCATGCATCTTTTCTGGTTTTCATTCAGTTGATCATTGACATTTGAGAGCCTTTTTAGAAAATACCTTTTAGTGTTCGTGGTACTTGCAGAGAACTGGATCTTGGCTGTTCAATGACAAGGACACATACATACTCCACATTTTTATAGACTCTTTCACTGTTGTTATTTAAGAGATAAGAGATAAGAGCATCAGCACAAAACAATACTTCACATGCAAAAGTGGTGTTTTAATAAGCTTTCTTGCTGCTGTGACTTAGACACAACCAGAACAATTGTAGAGGAAGAAAAGTTTATTTAAGGGCTCATAGTTTCAGAGGTCTCAGTCCATATACAGCCAGCTCCATCATGGAGGAAGAGTATGGCAGAGGGAAGCAGCTCACCTGGTGATCAAGAAGCAGAGAGACTCTACTATCCAGATGCAAATATATCCCCCAAAGCCACGCCCCAGTTCCCACCTCCTCCAGCCACACCCTACCATTTCAGATACCACTCAGTTAATCCCTATCAGGGGATTAATTCACTGACAGGGTAAGGACTCTCACAACCCAATCATTTCTCCTCTGAACTTTCTTGCATTGTCTCACACGCGAGCTTTTGGGGGACAGCACATCTAAACCCTGGCACATGGGCAGGTAATAATAATACTTCACATGCCAACTCAGCACTGTGCTTTGGTTCATAGCAGAAGGCCAATGTGGCCAATGTGGTGTCCCTCTCCCCTGCCACCTACTCTCACATCCAGGGTGCTGTCTAGAGCCCCAGGTAAAGGTGCTGGCCAGAGGGGAACTGGGGAAAGAGGAGGGAGAGAAACAGGCCAGTGCAGGAGGTGGGGGAGGTCATGGGATTCTCGCAGCTGAGTGAACCCTTTTCCTTTGGTAAAACTGTTTTGGCAGGTGGTGTGATCACCCTGAGTACCCCTTTCATGACGAATACTGACTTCAGGGAGGACTTCCCGGATTTCCCTCTCGGGTGTCGGCGCCTTGGCTGGAGTTTCCTGGATATGGAAATAAAAGGGGTTTCAGTGTCCTCCGATGGCGTAATGATGAAAATGTTCCACACTTATCTTTTGTGACCTTTACTTAGCTATGAAGAAAAAATGTTTAAATCTGAAATAACTCAGTAATTATCTAGTAGTATATTTTTTATATCAGTGTCTTCTAGGTTCCAGACAGAAAAACATTAGAATTTAGAAAATATTTGAAAGGCAACATATAAAGACAAATAACACATGGATATGGGCATTATCAAAAGTAGTCTTGAGTTCTTAGACCTTTAACAGGACGGCAAAGAGGGTGGGGAGCTGGCATGGGCCAGGGTGCTGGCAGTGGCCTGATGGTTTGGCACTGATCGCAATACAGGTACAGCTTAGAGAAGACCACACAAGCATTATTTTTATTGTTATTTTGTTTGTTTTTGTGGTGCTGGGGATTGAACTCAGGGCCTCTGTGCTAGACAAGTGCTCTGTCCCTGAGATACATTCCCAGTCCTTTCCTCATATATTATTAACAAACAAGTGATTTCTTGCATCTTGAGTAGATAAGGAAGAAATGTAGAAAAGTCTTAAAATTGAGCTTATTAAACAGTTGTAAGCAAAGTCTTTCATGTTACTGTTCATTTCTGTGCAGTGTGTGCCTGTTTAGCTTTTAGCTAGTTTGAAGGATGGATAGTTACTGGTTCACTGATGCATCTTTATGGGACCCCAGCACCCTGGTAATCCAGCTGTGTCTTATCATTACTCTTGCCCTAGTTCATCATGCACCTTCCATTGTGTGAAGTGGCTTGAAGCAACCAACATACACCAATGAACCCTGTACCAGAAAATAGTCAAAAGAAAGATATTTTAAAAGAAGGAATTTTTAAAGGAGGCTTTCAAAAACATTGGTAGATGAGACCTTATAAAATTATTATTCTTAAGACCTGAAGAGTGGGATAATATGAATTTTAAAACAGTAGCAAGTTCAAAAGAACACTAATAATTTTACTGTGTGTAAATTTTTAACAAGTGAATATGATTATTAGAACTCTGCTATAAAGATACACCTATTTTCAATTCAACTAGAGAAATACATTTTATTCATTCATATCAGGTCACTTTCAGGGGGGTTTTAGAGAGCTTTTCAAAACTTGTTGTTCCAAGATCAGTTGATTATAAATAAAGTTCAATGATCTGAAGAGACATATTTCTGAGAAATTATCCCTTTATCAAAATTGATCTATTCACATTGTTTCCAATGATTCCAATGTTAACATTTATAGTGCTTTCTCTAGAAAATGTTTTGTTCACAAGAAATAAAGTGTGATGATTTGTCCCACCAAATGAATATCTGTTCTATTTCTCAGGAAGGAGAAGGGAAAGAATAGTGAGCATGAAGGCAGAGGTGGTGGTGGCATTTCTTCAAGTCAAGGAACAACAAACATTGTCAGAAGCCACGAGAAGTTGGCAAGAGGCACAGGACAGATTCTCCCTCCGTAGGAACTAACCTGCTGGTCCCTTGGTCTTGAGTTCTAGCTTCAGAACTGTGAAACAATAGGTTTCTGTTGTCTAAGACACTGGCTGGTGCAACTCTGTGATAGCTGCCTTACAAACTAATACATCAGCCTTTAGTAAGCATTTCCATTCTCCCCCAGACATCCACAGCGAGCATGGCCTTAATCAGTCAATATTTTGCAGAGGCCAGATATCAATAACCAGAATGATCTTCTCCTCAACTTCTGCCACCCCAAAGAGATAGGGCTTTGCTTTCTGTAAATATATTTCTGAGTATTTGTGCTTTGTTATTTACTAATTATTTGAGATTGTAAGTCTTAGGGTGGCTTGTATTATCCTGGGCAGGAAGAAAGACTCCTTAATGAGACACTGGCCGTCATCCCCCTAATAAAGGTGTGCATGTTTTGTGGCTACAGTCATGAAGACTGACAAAAGTTGAGCACACTTATATACCTAAGACTTTGTCCCTCTGTGAAACTCTCTTAAAATTTCAGGTTTCCACTGTTGATACCAATTTCTGATGATCACACACCAGTAACTAAGTCTGGATATCTTGTGGGGCCCTGGTTATTGAATGTGAGCCTTCCTTGTATCTAAATTGTAACCTTAATATTTCTGCCTCTAGATACCAAATCCCCAAGTTCTAAATTTAACTTCTTCCACCCAATTCTCTGTCCACATTCATGAGAAACAGGCTAAGTGGGTGATGCCCAGCTATTAGGCTACTGAAAGAGAGGGTTCTTAGCAGACAAAATAAAAATGCCTACAAAAGGGACTTTCCGAGCAATGGAGTACTAAGTTTTAGCTTCCTTTCCCCTCACTTCAGATTCCCACAAAGGAGATCTCCCTCAGCACCAAAAAGTCAGTGAGGTTGACTATCAATCAGAGTGCATAAATGATTGCAATTGTCAAAGTATAATTTTCAAAAAATTAAAAATAGCATTATCACATAAATACAAAGTGAATGCATATCACAACTTAGTCGCCTCACTAAAGATAGAATTAGTGAGACCGTGTGAAGACTACCAAGAGAATGGAGGACAGTGAAACATTCACAGCAACTGAAAGACAGTTTGCTGGAATGAGATGGTTTGTTTAGTTCCCAAACTGGGTAGTATTATAAAGGGAACTAAAACTATGTACCATTGAGTTTATTTTCCTACCCAATGTAATAATTTACACCCCTCTTATAATTCTTATGGCACTATTATTGCCAAGAATGATTTTCACCACTACCAACTACCCTTACCAAATTTTAAAATACCCTAGTTAATGATTAAATCATCAGATCCAGAATGTTCAAACCCTGCACAATCCAAAGAAAGGCCTAGCCCTTGATCACTCTTGGAAGATGAACCCTAAGCCCTTGGAATATCATTCCTGAGAAGAATGTAATTTTGTTATTGGAACCTTGGGCCACATATGACATTTTATGCTACTGATATGACTTATGGTGGTGGTGGTGTGGGGGGACCTCCAGCCACAATGGTATTAGTCTAACTTTTACAGGAACTGGAGACTGAATGACTAAGGTCAGCCATACAAATACTCCATGCCTACTAAAAACACTGGACCTCAAAGCTCAGATGAGTTTCCCTGGTTGGCAGTACTACTCAGAAGGTGTCATTCATCATTGCTGGGAGAACTAAAAACTACCTTTACAACTCTATTGGAAGAAAACAAACTAGAAGTTTGTGCATGATCTCCCTTCTGGACTCATCCCTAGGCTCCTTTTACCTTGGTTAATTTTAATCTGTGTCTTTCACAACAACAAATCATAACCATCAGTTAAGAGCTTTCCTGAATTCTCTGAGTCCTTCTAATCAATCATTGAAATTGAAGGTGGTGACAGCAGCCTGAGAGGTGAACTGTATATAATTGTATATCCTCTTCTGAGAAGTGTCTGTTCAGGTCCTTGGCCCATTTATTGATTGGATTGTTTTTTTTTTTTTTTTGGGGGGGGGGGTGCTTATCTTGTTCAGCTCTTTATATACCCTAGAGAT